GCTATTTATTATTATTATCGTTCTTCCGACGTCTGATTTCTTTTTAATTATAGGAAATGCGTTTTTATGAAGTACATAAATTTTTGGGATTGACTGTATAGCCAACACATCCTTACTTTATTTCAAGTTCATTAAGATCGTCAGTCCATTTAATCATTCCACAAGCTTGTATAAGTACTAAGCCTATATTTTACTGATATTCGCGTATATATCAAATAAATTTGTTGTTAAGGATAAAATTTGTCTTCAACTACTCTAAATTAATTATAGCTAACTGGTGAAAATTTATATCGTCGTTAACAGTTCAATTATAATTAAATGACAATGTTATATGCCGATAAGTATGATAAATTGTGTATATTATTTGTTAAATTTATCTTCGTGTCAAAGTCGAACGCGATATCACATGATATAACATGTATAAATATTCAATAGAGGTATGAAATGGATTGCATTAATTAATAGAAGCATAGCTGTGATTGCAATAGAGATCAAATCTTCCTCGCAGAAACTAAGTCGGAAATTAATCAGAGCTCAAGGTTTCTCCAATGAAGCTAGTTATGAGGCATCGTGAGAAAAAGAGAATGGAAACGTAGAATTACCATCCAATTCTGCATGCAAACGGGAAAAAAACGTGATAAATTAATGATGAGGTTTGAAGTCCGCATAGTAACGAATAATTGACGGAATTGGATTGCGAACAATACTAATTACTTTTTATTGGAAGATATACTCTATTTGTAATGAAAACGACGTTTCAATAATTATAGAATTTCATAATGATTCCGTAATGAACAAGTAGGACGTTAAACAGGATTTAGGACGCAATTAGTGTCAGTTAACTTCTACTAGATCGCACGAAGTCATCGGCCTTCAATTACACAACCGAATAAGTGGAAATGAAAATTCATCGACTTGTTTTATTGCTAAATAAAGTTAAACAAATGCTGGACAATCTTGACGACACACATGTCCATTCATGGAGTTCTGAATAGTATGAAACATCAATTAAGAATGACGGCTTAGAACTTTACCACCGCATCATGTGCAGTGAATATTAACATCGAGGAATATTCTGTGTGTAATGGTGTTAATAATAAAATAAATGCAAACTTCCTCGAAACAGAGAAAACCGTCAATCACTGTTTTCTGGTGTTGAAGAACCGTGGTCGCTAGTACACGTGTAATGAATTTCTATTCGACGCACGAGCACATTCTTAACGAGTGCATCATGTTTACAACGAGAAAGCATCGAGCCATGACTAGAAGGAATGCTTTGCCAGGGTGGAAAATTTGAACGAGCAAGTTCAAGTTCTTGCGTCGAGATTAAGTTCTCAGCAAACTTTATCAACAGATCATGACACTACTTAATAATGTGTCTCATTACTTGCATTTTGTGATTACAATAGCAGAATGTATGTATGTGTGTATGTATTACTTGGAAGAAGAGAAGAGACAATGCACTCAATTAGAAAGTGCATTATTGCAAGATCGTTGTACGTCGAACTATCATTAATACTTTCTGCTCACTTTTCTCTCACTCCCCTCTCTCCCACTCGATGTTCATACGTGTGAATAAAATCAATACACATACATAATTTATAGATTCAAGGTGTACAAGAATGATTCGAACTTCTCTTATCTTATCGTTAATTTATTGCCATAAATAATTAGTTAGACAACGAGATATTACAGAACGCACATATAAATGCAAATTATGTAAATAATTCTAAGAACTATAAGAAAAAAGCATACATTGAAAATGCCATTCGAACAGAAGCCAGAGTTTATTTTTCTTAAATAAGAAGGACAGTCGCTTAGAATACATATGTTACATCATTGGGAGAACCAGTGGAAAAATGGAACAAGAGATACATCCTTTGTTTGAATAGTTGGTTAAATAATTCATAAAACAATAATTCAATTATTAAACGAATATCTTATGCAATGTACCGAAACGTACGTGTATTTGAACATATGTGTGGAATTAGTGAGACTAATGATATGCAAGATCCTGTGGAGTGCATCAGTCGGTGAACGCCAAGAGTCAATTACAATGATGTCGATGAACTTGTAGGCAAAGAATATACATTACAGAAGCTTCGCGGCGAGCCGGTTATCCGCGTGCGCGTGAAAAATGATAGAACATAATAATTGTGCGGCAGGGTCAAAGTGAAATGGTATAATGAAGTCGCGTAAGAGATATCAACGAAATGAAGAGTGTCTTTAATGCCTTATGACAAGTAATCATTGGTAATTAAGTACATTGGTCATCGTATGTACGGTGATATATCGTATTTCATAACAGAACAGATCAATTATGCTGCGATTTGAAAATACATAATCCTATAAATAGCAGGAGAAGATACGATGTATGCACGCTATCTAATTAATGAAGACCGCAGATTACAGATTCGTCGTATCACGTGCTTCTACACATGTTTCATACTCGTGTCTAGTTTAGTTATCGTATCAATTAATTTACATACGTACCAATTGAAGGAAATGTTAATCGTTCACCTTGTCCTATGTTTAAGTTTTTTAAATCAGGCTATAATATCTATCTGAAGTGTTACTCTTTGTTCCATTACAGAGCATCACAAATGTGATGAGGGATGCTGCGTATTTTACTAGATTGGGATTGAACTTGTTAATTCGCAATACGGATACGCAACCTCTAGCCAGAATGACCGCCAGGGAGTTTATGTTCGGCTACGAGTCTACTCTTGTTACTCTTGGTAACAAAATGTGGCCATCCTGGATCAAATTTGATAAAGTAGGCCTCATCGACAGAGTAAGTTTCAAACGTTTCAACTATTTTTTCAATACACAAGACTCGAATGTGTGATACAAGAATCAAATAGAATTTTAGAGAGATATTTTCTATTCAATGTCTCTCTCTCTCTTTGTCCCTCGTAGATGTACGATTTTGACGGCGAGTACGAAAATGTTTATACCGGAGAGAACGATATTCGTATGACAGGGCTAATCGAAAAGTATAAAGGTGACGAGAATTTGCCACAATGGACGGGAAAGTGTGCAAACGTGAAGGGAGCCAGCGATGGAGTGAAATTCCCGAGTTACATTGAACCCAATGATACTATATTATTCTTCAGGAAAAGTCTCTGTCGCAGCGCTTCCATGGTATGACGAATGTTGAAGCTTGCAAATTATTCAACAATGCCGTTTGACATATTTTTGTAATACGATCAATGAAATTAAAACGAAACTTTCAGACTCGAATTGGAGAAAAAGTGATAACAGGTTTAGAAACGTACAAATATAAATTCATTGAAAACATTCTGGATAACGGAGCTTATAATCCGGAAAATAAATGTTTCTGTCGGCATGGAGTTTGTTTGCCGCCTGGTTTAATTGATGTGACCGATTGCTATTACGGTAAGTGCATTTAAATAATATATAACACAAATATATATTAAATTGAACACATTGTACGTAGAAAGATTGTGATTATAAAAATTGTAAAAAAAACGATCGAAAGTACGTATCGCCACTCGTTTCAATTTTTATGTTTGCGTTTCATATCGAAATGAACGTGACTACCGAGAATAACACAATTAACATCGAGCGTCAATGGTAATTAAAAAATTTTATAATTTCTAAACAAGGAGAAAATTTACATGCTTGCGACATTATCATTGATTAGTATGTATTAATGAATATTAAAATATTAAAATATTAAAATACTGAAATATTGAATGCACATGTGAAAACAAGTTAAATAATAATTAATATGTCAAAGTCCAATAGAAATACAGAACGATCATGTTATTCTCAAGGATCATACATATTATTAATCGATTATTTTTGCGATGATGCAGGCTTTCCAATTGCGCTTTCGTATCCACACTTCTACAAGGGTGACCCAAGCCTCCTGGAAGCTGTCGAAGGTTTAAATCCAGCAGCCGATCTTCACGAGTCGTATGCATACATTCAGCCAAAATCAGGGCTCCCGGTGAAACTTGCATTCCGATTTCAAATCAACATGGTCCTGCGCGATATCGAGCACATGGCTCGAGTAGAAAAATTCGGGAACTTGGTCTTGCCGATGCTGTGGTTCGAAATTGTAAGTACAGACACCTATCGATCGTATGTTACATCGCTATTTATTTATTTAAATCGGTGTAAATAAATAAATAAGTAAATTTCAATATCGAGATATGACATTTTTTAAATCAGCTAATACAGAGGTGGGGAACATGCGGCCTTCGTGAGTTTCTTGTGTGGCCTCCTTGTACGCTTCCA